TTTGGATGGATGCTCTCCAGGGAACCCCCCAGACTCTCAAAATGGGAAGCTGAAAAACAACATGGAAGAAAGCACTGACAAATGCTTCTCTTACAGCAGCCTTTTTGGCACCAGGGACCAGCTTCCTGGAAGACAATTTTTCCACGACCGGGGGAGGGGGAGGAGGAGGAATGCACAACATAGATCCCTCACAAGCACAACTTACAGTAGGGTTTGCGTTCCTGTAAGAATCTAATGCCTAATGATCTGAGGTGGAGCTGAGGCATTGATGCTAGCGCTGGAGAGCAGCTGCAAATACAGGCAAGTCCTCCACTTATGACTATAATTGAGCCCAACATTTCTGTTGCTAAGTGAAACATTGGTTAAATGAATTTTGTCCCATTTTATGACCTTTGCCACAGTCGTTAGGCGAATCACTGCCGTTGTTAAATTAGTAACACTGTTGTTAAGTGAATCTGGTTTCCCCACTGACTTTGCGCGATGGGTGCAAAAGGGGATCACGTGACCCCGGGATGTGGCAACTGTCAAAGGTACGAACCAGTTGCCAAGCATCTGAATTTTGATCATGGGACCATAGGGATGCTGCAGTGGTCATGAGAGTGAAAAACTGTCATAAATCACTTTTTTTCAGTGCTGTTGTAACTTTGAATGGTCACTAAATGAACTGCTGTAAGTCGAGGACTCCCTGTACAGATGAAGCTTTGCCTGCTCACCTACTGCTCACCTCCAGATGTGCAGCCTGGTTCCTAAAGGCCACAGACCGGGACCGGTCCTTGGCCCAGGGGTTGAGGAGCCCTGCTCCAGAGTACTCTCCAGGAATCAAGCCTAGATTGATACTTCTTAGAGTAATAGCATTTAGACTTATATACCACTCCATAGTGCTTTACAGCCCTCTCTAAGCGGTTTACAGAGCCAGCCTATTGCCCCCAACAATCTGGGTCCTCATTTTACGGACCTTAAAAGGATGGAAGGCTGAGTCAGCCTTGAGCCGGTGAGACTCGAACTGCTGGCAGTTGGGAGTCAGCAGAATTAGCCCGCAATACTACATTCTAACCACTGCGCCATCAACAGCTCTTACAGGTAGTCCTCACTATGTCCTGTTTAACGACTAAAGTGATGACGGCGCTGAAAAAGTAATATTATGACCGGCCATGACTTTGATGACCACTGCGCATCCCACAAGTCACGGTGATTATCATTTGCGTGTTTCACGGCCAGCCTGCAGAAAAATTGCAAGTTGCGATCGTGCAATATTTCGCTTAAGGAGTGCGGGCGATTTGCTTAACGACTGGAGTGGAAGTAGCCTTGTAGGTTCTGCACAGTCATGTGATGTTTTGCTTAAGGACCTTTTCACTTAGCCACCGAGTTGCTGGTTGTGATTGTGTTCTTTAAGTCAGGACTGCCATATAGAAAAGGCAAAAGTTCAAGTTGAACTTTTAAGTTGTTCTTTTAGTTAGTGGCTTTTTGGAAAAGGTCCAAAGCACAGGATTCACAATAAGGGCCCAGGCCTGGATGACTTGAACAGAGAATATTTTCACTAGTCCTTTGTTTGAGGGTTATTGTTGCTATGTGATGGTTATGTGGATCTTTGCAGCCCAGCTATCATCCTCTTACTCTGGTCTGTGAAGTCCTAAAGGAACAGGCCAAGTAACTTCTCTGCCAGCTAGACTTGACGGTCTGCATTCACTCCCTATTTACACACCCTGCTTCACAGATGCTTGACTTGTAACAGCCTATGAACACTGCTGCTCCCATTATTGCAAGGGCTGGCTTTTTAAAGGGGGCTAGCACATTCTTTTTGGTGTGTCTTCTGCCAGGTTACCCCATTTTTCTTAAGCTAAAGAAATTAAAAGCGTTTAAGAATTTTGACTGCCTTTCTTCCCTTACTGAGAAAAATCCATGCTTGGAGGACAAGGCAGCCATTTAGGATCAGAAAGCTGATAGTCTACCCTCCACTTTCCAGCTAAGAAAATGTAATCAGAGCTTGATAAAGGTTCAAGCACGTCCCTCGTGCTGTGCATTTCTCCACAACTCAGGGTTAAACAGTTAAAAAATTTCCCTGAATTAGTAGTAGAATTTCTTTCAAGTCTCCATATATTTTAGGCTGCATTTTCCTGCTACCATGTAATGGTTATTCAGATATTTGCAGCACAGATATGGTAGCCCTGAGAATAAATTCTGATCAAAAGTTTGCACCAGTTTTCAGTGTTAAACAGGAATGCAACGGCTGCACAAAATTTAGCGACAATTATGGCACCCTTGAACTTCTACCATGCCTTTAAGGTTATGAAAAGAGTATGTTGGTATCATCCTTAGCCTAGTGAAAGTGTAGGTTATTTCAGGATTAAGTGGAGGATCAAACAAGAGGGGAAAAAATATATTGCAGAGGCCAAAAGATGATCTCCAAAATGACTGTGAAACCTGATTAGTATTTGAACAGGAGTCCACCAGGGAATTCACCAGGAGTCCACCAGAGTATAGGCTAGTCTGGAAAGTAAAATGTTTATAGACTCCCAGAAGACAATGGCAAAGGATTTCTCTTTTGTTGCCAAAAAAACCAACTACCCAACCGTACACAGATGTAACTAAGAAGCTGCCATGAGTCAAGCTTGACATGGAGGAGACTTTTTTTTAAAAAAAAGCAGTGGTAACTGCATATATAGAGTTTTTGAGAGCCTGCCCTGATGACCAGGGAAGATGTCCGCACACATCTCCCAATATTGCAGAAGTTAATTCAGTAATAATGTCTGACTTGGCAGCAGGTCCAAGGCAGGATTTCTTGAGTTATAAAACTGCTTTAACAGTATACGGTTTGCCAGTACTCTGCTTGACCTAGCACCATCAAGCCTTGAGGAGCAAATTATTCAGATGCAATTTTCCCAGGAAAAAAAAATATGCAACTTTTTGTTTGGGGAGGGGTTGTTACCAGAAATATGGAACGCCATTTCTAATTGCCTACGCGAAACGTAGGCAATTAGCCCTACACCAAGCTTGTGTGTGATTGCAGTACATTCTCCCCCAGGGTTACTGAGGGTCCTCATCTATGAGAAAGGAGCACCTGTGGCTATATATGGATACATAAGCATCAAACACGCTGCAAGAACAGCATCTTGAGCACCTAAGGTCTTGGCCCCTTTGAACTGGAAAGGACTAGCACCAGGGCACCTGAGGGTTGAATGCAATCCAACACATTCCTGCCAGAGAGGAAACGGGAACACCCAATATCATAGGTAGACAGCCAATAGCCCCTCATAAGATTTCCTTTTGACAATAGTTTTTGAGAGCCTCTCTTTCCAGCCCATGCTGGTTGGTTGCAATGGGGAAAGAGTTGCATTGGTTCCAACATTTTTAATTTTAATTTTTATTTTTGGTGGCTGTGCCCCTTTTCCTGCAAGTCTTCCACTGGGAGAAAAAAAATGTTTCTGAATAAGTTTATGCCCACACTTGCTTTTAGCCTGGCCCTGACCAGGGGTAGGCAACCTTGGCTCTTTTATGACTCGTGGACTTCAACTCCCAGAATTCCTGAGCCAGCATGGCTCAGCATGGAAACCTCTCCCTTTCCCCTCAGCATGGCTGGCTCAGGAATTCTGGGAGTTGAAGTCCACGAGTCATGAAAGAGCCAAGGTTGCCTACCCCTGACCTAGACTCTCACATCCCTGGGGTTTTAACCAAACACCTCTAAAGCAACAAACGAACTGAAAAGGGGGCAATAACACAACATGATTCTCCAAGCCAAGTTTTTTCACCTGAGCAACCAAGAGGACCGGCTGGTTTGGTTTGGTTTTCTCCACACAAGTGTACATTCAAGCAACTCCCCTTTCTCTTTTTAGGCAGGGCGGCAGCTCAACATCAACAGGTCACAAACGTCACCAATCCCACTTCCTGCCCCTTATGCGCTCCCTCTCCTTCCCCCCCCCTTCCCTGGCTTCCTCCCTCAGACGGGAACACACACAATAAGTGCAAATGTAAACATTTCTCATAATAAATAAATAAATTAAATAAATAAATAAACCGAGCACAAAAAAGTGCAGTGCATCTTGGTGCCAGCAGAGAGCAGAAGGGGGCCGCTTTCCCATCTCAACCAAAGGAGTGGGCCTTCTCAAAGGTAGGAAAGCCTCTGTGCGTGTGTGTGTGTTTGTGTTTTGTGTGTGTCTGCAGAATGATTGGACGTGGAGAAGGTGAGGATGATGTATTGGGAAGAGACACGGGGGCTTGGGAGGGAGTTGAGGCCTTTAGTCTTGTTGTTGCTTCTGAGAACAGCTACAAGGTGATGGAAATGGCTCCTTTCCAAGCTGCCCATTGGGACAATGGTTCCGTGCTGACTATGGCCCAAACAGGCATCAAGTCCATCTCAGAGACAGTCTGCTTAAGCACTCAGGACCTTGGGGTGGCGATGTACATCATCCAGTCAAGAGGCAGAGCTGGGACCTGCAGACTCCTGGCGCAACGTTGTCATTTTCCACTGGTAGATGAAAGCACGGTTTCTTAGCCCGAGCCGCCTCTGTTTCTCTCTCTCGTCTCTTCATCCCTTGGGTTCTGATTGCCACCAGGCCTGGCTGATCTTCTGCTGAATTCCCAAACCATTTGGGACTTTGGAGGAAGCCAAGTGGAAGGAATCAGTGCCTTCCTGTGAGTCGAACAAGTGGTGAGCTACGGGGCCAGCAGCCGCCCAAGGGGAGGGTCTGTTCAGTTGCTGCCTCCATTCCAGCTGTCCAGCATTGAAAGCAGTGAGCCCTGATAATAAGGTGAGACCCTCGATTTCCCCCCCTCTGCCTCCCCAAACTGGTCAGAGAAAATGTGGGAGCAGGAACCGAGGAGAGGAATGAGGTGTGCTGGCTCTCTTTCCAGAGATTATGAGATAATATAGATTTATATAGAGCTTTATAATTATTTATATAAATATCTGGGGAGAAGGTGGTGGTGGTGGTGGTGGTGCAGGGTGGCCGAGAAGGGAGGAGGGAACTGTACAACCTGGGAAAGGAAACCCCAAGCAGTGGAGATCACAAATTCGGTACGTCTGGAAGTCTCTGCACTTCCCCACTGCCTGAATTGTCCAGTTCGGCACTATCGCAGTCCGAGTCTTCATAGGCTGCAGGATCCTAGAAAGAGATGAAGTAGGTGAGGAAAGGTAGAGCCAGAAGAGAGAGAGGGGGAGGGAGGGAGGGACCCTGGCAGAAAACCTTAGATCAGGGGTAGTCAACCTTGGCTCTTTTATGACTCGTGGACTTCAATTCCCAGAATTCCTGAGCCAGCTTAGCTGGCTCAGGAATTCTGGGAGTTGAAGTCCACGAGTCATAAAAGAACCAAGGTTGACTACCCCTGCCTTAGATCACATCTGGTCATGGATTTCAATGGCAAGGCATGTTTTAAAAAGTGACTTTTGACCATTTTTCACACTTAATGACCACTGCCGCATCCTCTTGGTCATGTGATCAAAATTCAGATGCTTGGCCACTGACTCATGTTTATGACGGTTGCTGTGTCCCAGGATCATGTCATCACCTTTTCGTGACCTACTGACAAGCAAAGTCAGATTCACTTAGCAACCAGGTTACTAACTTACCAACTGTAGTGAGATTCGCTTAACTGCGCTAAGAAAGGTCGTAAAATGGGACAAACTTTTCTTAACCAATGTTTCACTTTGCCACAGAAATTTTGAGCTCAATGGTGGTCATAAGCCGAGGACTACCTGTAAATCTGTTTTTGCTGCTTGACCATGCATAGATGCAGTGGTGGGATTCAAATATGGGAACAACCGGTTCTCTGTGTGGATGCTGCTTCCAGAAGTCCATTCTGGGCCTGGGCAACATAAAATTAGCTAACTGGTGCGAACCGGCTGAATCCCACCACTGCATAGATGCTACTTGATCCATTTCCCCATCACGGGGAAGGAAGAATGGGGTCTGCAAACAAATGCAAGGCCTTCCATGGAAGAAAAAGGTTGGAAAGTTGTCCATCAATGATTTGCGTATGTTCTTTGAAGCTTTGAGGGGTAAGAACCAAATTCTTAAAGCCTCACAATGAAAGCCAATACATTCTGGATGCTGTGAGTGCAGGCAGACAAGTTATGGCTTTAGGCACTATTGGTACAAGTTGAATGTAATAGTTACATGATGCTGAACCAACTTGAATGGTTCTCTTCCGAAACCCCTTCCTCATAAGTGGACACCATTGATGGTAAGTCTGTGCTTGGGGCAGGGGTAGGCAACCTTGGCTCTTTTATGACTCGTGGACTTCAATTCCCAGAATTCCTGAGCCAGCATGGCTCAGCTTGGAAACCTCTCCCTTTTCCCTCAGCATGGCTGGCTCAGGAATTCTGGGAGTTGAAGTCCACGAGTCATAAAAGAGCCAAGGGTGCCTACCCCTGGCTTGGGGGGATGTGAGAGACTCCTAGTCCTGAGAGAGAAGGGTTAACATTTACTCAGTACCCACCTCTCCAGCATTCTGCTCAGCACTGAGCTGCCGTTTCACAAGCTGAATGGCGGCTTCCTTTTCAGACAACCCATCAGAGTTCCCCAGAATGTCGTCGTCTGAGCGCTCAGCATCCAGGCGTTCGTCTGTATTGGTACTGGGCACATCAGGGGTGCCGCCACTGTGGGAAGCTGTGGTGCCCTCACTGCCAGTGCCCTCCTCACCATCACCATCTGAGAAATTCTCGGAGCTGAAGGTGGAGAGAGATTGCCGTTTGCTCCTAGCCTGAGGCCACCTAGGAAAGAGAGCGAAAGAAGAAAAAAACTCCAGTCAGCCTGAAAGAGAAGGAAAAAAGAAGACGACACCCAGGAAGGAACTTGGGTTCCAGATGGAACCAGCACACTTTGTACCCACAAGCTTCGAGAGATACAACAGCAGGACAAGAAGAAAGTCTCCCAAATTGTCTCCAAATCCAATCTGCCCTTTCCCATCAAACCATCCATCCCTAACTCCCTTGTGTTTCTTGATTTAAAATATGTCACACGTCCTTCTCCACCCAGGAACCTGAGATTATAAAACTGAGAGCATGAAGTTAGAGAGAATGTAGCTAGAACAATAATGTCCCCATGGAAAGAGAAGGAAATATGTCCTTCGTTGATTACAGAAAGGCCTTTGTGCTGATCATGTCAAACTATGGGATGTCCTCTGGAAAATGGGAAACCCAGAATACCTTCCTGTGAAATTTAAGGCAAGAATCCACAGTTCAGACTACTGGCTCCAAGTCAGCAAAAGAGCGAATGCATTCTCTTGCTTCATTTAACCTATACTGTACGCTGAATATATATTGAGAGAAGCTGGATTGGAAGAAGATAAGCATGGTTTTATAATTGGAAGAAGAAACATCAAATAATTTGCTTTACGCCAGGGGTCTTCAAACTTGGCCCTTTTATGACTTGTGGACGTCAACTCCCAGAATTCCTCAGCCAGGCACATTTAACAATTCTGGGAGTTGACGTCCACAAGTCATAAAAGGGCCAAGTTTGAAGACCCCTGCTCTACGCTGATGACATTCCAGTGGAAACGGCAAATGATCTGGAAACTCTCATAATGTAAGTCAAGTTATACCCTGAAAAGAATGGGATTGTGACTAATATCAAGAAGACCCAAGTTCATGATCACAGTACACCAGCCAGATTTAGAACTGACAATTAAGATACTGAAGTGGTGGATAGTTCCTGTTTTGAGACCGTCAAGAGTAAAGGAACCCACAGTCGAGTACTGTACTACACTACTAGCCATTGGCAGAGTAGCAGTGAAGGCCCTGGAAATGATATTCACTTGCTGTAATTTGTCTAAATTTATAAATATCACTGCTTCTAGGCAACTTTTTTTTTCTGTGACATTCTATGAAAGCAAAAGTTGGACTTTGAAGAAGCAGGATAGAAAGTATATTGATGCTTTTGGTGTTGGAAAAGGCTCTTGGGAACATCATGGATAGCCAAGACAAACAAATGGATCATGGGGAGGGGGAATCAAACCAGGGTTTCCAATTGAGGCACAAATGATCAAGCTCAAATTATAATATTATGCAAAGAGCTAGATCTCTTGGGAGATGCATAATTCTGGAAACAGCAGAAGGAAAGATAACAGGAAGACAAACAGCAAAGTGGATGGATTAAATTAGTTTCCAATGGCAATTGGATAACCTAAAAGCCAGGCTGGAAACAGATCATCCTGGAGAAAGTCTATCTATGTCAGGGATCTTCAAACTTGGCCCTTTTATGACTTGTGGACTTCAACTCCCAGAATTCCTCAGCCAGGCACACTGGCTGAGGAATTCTGGGAGTTGAAGTCCACAAGTCATAAAAGGGCCAAGTTTGAAGACCCCTGATCTATGTGATCACCAAATGCTGACACTGACTTGATGGTACATAGTCAATCAAAGGGGAGGGGGGTTGGAGTTGGGAACCAAATGGAAGTGAGGAAGGAGGCAAAAGAAGATGCGGAAAACCCATATCACCTTCTCTATACCTTCAGTCACTCCTCGCCAGGAAAACAGTTGGGGTGAAGATATAAGCTTTCTCCATCTTGGTGGTCATTCCAATCTGCTGGACTGGCAGCAGGTGGGAAGAATACTCTACATTCTTTTTTCATGATTAGAGGTAGAAACACCAAAGTAGAAGCACATAACAATAAACAATCTCTTGCATATCCCTGTTTAGAACATAAGACATAGAATAATAGAATTGGAAGGAACCTTGGAGGTCTTCTAGTCCAACCTCCTGCTCGAGTAGGAGACCCTATGCCATTTCAGACAAATGGCTGTCCAGTCTCTTTTTGAAAGCTTCCAGTGATGGAGCACTCATAACTTCTGAAAGCAAGCTATTCCATTGGTTGATTGCTCTCACAGTTAGGAAAATACTCCTTAGTTTTGGGTTGCTTCTCTCCTTGGTTAGTTTCCATCCATTATTTTCTTGTCTTGCCTTTTGGTGCTTTGGAAAATAGTTTAATCCCCCTTCCCATCTTTGTAGGAGCCCCTCAAATATATCTTGTCTCCCCTAGTCCTTCTTTTCACTAGTCTAGACATACTCGGTTCCTGCAACCGTTCTTCATATATTTTAGCCTCCAGCCCCCTAATCATTCTTGTTGCTCTTTTCTGCACTCTTTCTAGAGTCACAACATCTTTTTTTATATTGTGATGACCAGAATTGGATGTAGTACTCCAAGTGTGGTTTTACTAAGGTTTGTGCTAGCACTTCATGTGATGTTGATTCTATTCCTCTATTAATGCAGCCTAGGATTGCATTGGCTTTTTTTTTTTTTTTTTTTGCTGCTGCCACACACTGTTGGGTCATATTTAACTGATTATCCACTAAGACTCCAAGATTCCTCTTATAGTTACTGGCATTAACCATGTTTCACATAATCTAGCGGTTCTCAACCTATGGGTCGTAACCCCATTTGGGGTCGATTGACCATTTCACAGGGGTCGCCAAGCAAGGCTGTCCGCCATTTTTTCCCCTTTTCCGGCGGGTGCCTTATCTCCCTTGGGCTGGGCCAGCTGGTGGTCGGCCTGCTCCGTCTCTGCCACTTGCCAGCTACGCCTCGGCCAGCGCAGGGGGCGGAACCACACATGTGCGGCGCTCCCGGGCAGGGAAAGTCCTCAACTTACGACCGGTTGGGTAGTCCTCGACTTACGACCGGTTTAGTCCTCGACTTACGACCGGTTTAGTCCTCGACTTGCAACCAGTTGGGGGTCGCGGCATTAAAAAGGTTGAGAACCACTGACCTAATCTGTACCTATACAGTTGGTTTTTCTTGCCTACGTGTAAAACCTTACTTGTATCTATGCTGAATTTTATTTTGTTAAATAGGGCCCAGCTTCAAGTCTGTCAAGGATCCTGAGCTTGTCTTTTGGAGTGTTGGCTATTCCTGCCAGCTTAGGGTCGTCTGCAAATTTGATGAGTTCTCCTTCTATTCCCTCATCTGGATCATTTATGAAGATATTGAAGAATTCTGTTCATCCCTCTTTTCATTCAACACTTTCTCTCTCATTCTGGTATTCATAATCCTAAACAATTGGCTCATTTCACCACTGCTGCCTACTCAGCACTGCTACTCAGAAGGAATTCCAAAGCATTTACAAATCTCCTTCTTGCAATTATTCTAAGTAAGCAATTTATTTTACTTCTTCATAGACCACTTTTCTTCCATGATGAAGCTCAACAAGATGTGTGGCGTTAACAGGCAGATTCTTACAATCCCACAGATGTCTCTTCAATACAGCAATACTGAGAAATCTGTCGTCTCATTCTATTTCCTGGGTTCCAGCAGTTTTTCCAGGTTTTTATAACCACAATGACCCTCACTTTATTTTACTGATCCTCAAATCATTATATTGTGCCAATGAAATTTGATGGCAATACTGACGTTTTTCTGAGATATTTTTAGGTATTGTTAAACTAAAGGAAAAGAGATACGCACTTATCTTTCCTCTTAAATCTCTGATCCACTCTCAAGACATAAATAAGAGATGAAAATTTTCCACTCTACTCCACTCATTGATCCCCAAATCCTTGGAGACTGAGTCCTAAATCAGGCAAATCCTCACCTTTGCCGGAGAGGGAGCTCAACTTCACTGTCCACTTCGCCCTCTTCTTCCTCTGAGGAGATACCACGTTTCTAAGTCAAGATGAATGAAATAAAAAGAAACTGTCAGAATTTGTCAACTTTTCAAAATAGATCAGACTGGAAACAGCCGTAGCAAGGATCCTTCATTGTTGCAGGATATAATAACACAAGCTTGACGCTGCCAGAGTTTCCATCTCTGACATTTTACAATGAATAGAATCAGAATGGGGTTATTTTGAATTTCTTTTCCATGCTTTCCCCATTTCCCAAGACTGAGTTTTTATTTTCCCTCAGCAGGTCCAGTTTTGCTGTCAGGTTTATTTCTGTATTACTTTTATAGCATTATAACTTTAATAAAGGTGGATGAAAACTAACTAAACTGTCCTGTTTGCCATCGTTCGCTCCCTAGAGACTAAAATGGACGATCTGAAACTTGAGCTGGCCACGAACAAGGAGTGTATATCGGAGGTGGTGACCTTTCAAGAGCTGTATGCAACGAAATTTCATTTTGATGTACGCCAATTGGTGTACATTCAAAGTGACAATAAAGTTGTTGTTGTTGTTATTATTATTATTATTATTATTATTATTATTATTATTATTATTATTATTATTGATCATCACACAGTCAGCCAGATGCTCAGACTGGATGTGGCATTTTCGTCTACCTATCGAGTCCTTACCAAGGACCTGTGATAGGCAGATGTGGATGTTTGATGGTATTACAGATATCGTCGCAGGATGGAAGCAGTTCCTAGTAAGGCCGCCTTTTGCAATTGACTAATGGTGAATTTGTCAGTGGTGTTCAAGTGGTGCTCCAGTTGTTTTGGGATTGCACTCAAGGCGCCTATTACTATTGGTACTACCCTTGCTTGCCTTTGCCACAGTCTTTCTATTTCTATTTGTAGGTCTTTGTATTTTGTTATCTTCTCCAGTTCTTTCTTGTCTATTCTGCTATCTCCAGGCACTGCCACGTCCACTTTCCAGACTTTTTTGTCTTTCTTATCGACAATTTTTATTATTATTATTATTATTATTATTATTATTATTATTATTATTATTATTATTATTATTATTATTATTATTATTATTATTATTATTATCCAATCACCAACAAAGATTTGACTTCTTTATCAGCACATATATTTTGCTCTGACTTCAAGACAAGTCTTGCTGAGAAATTATTGGTCCAATGAGAGATTAATAATGGTGCCAAACAGGCCCACCTGTCTCCTATCTTGAACAGGTGATTTGGGTATTCAAGGCCTCTAAACAGGGAGAGTCCAAATAAGAAGTCTGCTTGGTAAAAAGTTCCTGAGCTCTGGGACATCTTCCAGGGGTGGCTGCTCTGTCCACTTCTTTGGGGTCCTTTTGAGGCAGGAGATAGACTTTCCCTCATCATCACTTGTGAGTGTTTGGGGATTGATTTTCTTCTTCTTCTTCTTCTTCTTCTTCTTCTTCTTCTTCTTCTTCTTCTTCTTCTTCTTCTTCTTCTTTCTTCTTCTTCTTCTTCTTCTTCTTCTTCTTCTTCTTCTTCTTCTTCTTCTTCTTCTTCTTCTTCTTCTTCTTCTTCTTCTTCTTCTTCTTCTTCCTTCTTCTTCTTCTTCTTCTTCTTCTTCTTCTTCTTCTTCTTCTTCTTCTTCTTCTTCTTCTTCTTCTTCTTCTCCTCTTCTTCTTCTTCTTCTTCTTCCTCCTCCTCCTCCTCCTCCTTCTTCTCCTTCTCCTTCTCCTTCTCCTTCTCCTTCTCCTTCTCCTTCTCCTTCTCCTTCTCCTCCTCCTCCTCCTCCTCATTATTATTATTATTATTATTATTATTATTATTATTATTATTATTATTATTATTATTATTATTATTATTATTATTATTATTATTATTATTATTATTATTATTATTATTATTATTATTATTATTATTATTTAACATGACATGGTTAGGTTTTACACTGTTGGCCAACTAGGATGGAAACTGGTACCGAACGTTGCTTAAGAACCATCCAGAGTTGCTGGGAGTTGGGTGGCATATAAATTTAATAAATCATAATCAAGAGATACGATAAGCTGAACCAGCAAGGAAATAAAACAATATCCCATCCTGCTCTAATGCTGTGCATTGAAGAGGAAAGGGACAAGGCAGTCCATAAAAGCTGGAGAAGGGCCTTCACCTCGGCAGTTGTTTACCTGTTGCACTCAGTTTCTTTCTTGCTTTGGTATTATCAGAGGAAGAAAAGGAGAAGGCAGACACAGCCAGCATTTCTACGGGCTTTTCAGATCACAGTGGCTGTTGCCCGCCCGTAAACCTATTTTCTTCTGTTTGGGAAAGGAAAAAGAGGAAGAAGAGTGGAAAGAAAAAACGTGCCTACCTGGCTGCGGGTAACAGCCGCCCGGTACAACATAGCTGCTGGTGTGAGGTGCTGAGGCTGCTGTGGGGCCCCTGAGCGGCTGCCCTTGCCCTGTTCCCGTTCTGCGTCTTCTCCGGGCTGCAGCCTTGCCTTCCCTGGCGGCCCCACCGCCCCCTGTCGAGAAGAGGGTGAGTCGGGGCTGCTGGAACAAGGCACCGAGGCAGTGTCTTCGCTGGGCGTCTCGCTGCGAGGTTGCTCTGCTGGTGGGGATTCTGGCCCCGCCGCCCCCTTGCGGCCCTCGGCTCCCAACGTGGTGGAAATGAGGTCAGGGCTGGAAGACGACATCTTGCGCAGCAGCAGGTCATGCTGGAGCCCTCGGAGGGCCGTGCAGGGTTCCAGGCGCTTGGCTCCTCCGGGATCGGCCAGCTCCCCACAGCTGCCCCGTGTGCTGACCTTACGGTAGCGTGACTTAGCACGGCGGCTGCGCCCGGGGGACGGGGGCCCTTTCTGGCACACGGGGATGGCGAGCTGAGGCAGGCTGGGGTCCAGGATGACCTCTGTCTTTAGAATGTCTGGCCTGCAGAAGTGAAACAGAGTTAGCCGAATAATCTAAATGCCAAGAAGGGAGAGGGTACCGTAATTTTAATCAAACCCTTTAAGCCAGGGATAGGCAACCTTGGCTCTTTTATGACTCATGGACTTCAACTCCTAGAATTCCTGAGCCAGCATGGCTCAGCTTGGAAACCTCTCCCTTTCCCCTCAGCATGGCTGGCTCAGGAATTCTGGGAGTTGAAGTCCACGAGTCATAAAAGAGCCAAGGTTGCCTACCCCGGCTTTAAGCAATTGGCTCCTATGTTGCTGCTCCTAAGGCTGCTTCCCCCTCCCACTTTTTGCAGTTTTGCTGTTGCTGCTGCTTTGCTGTCTTAGATTAGATTATTAATTTTCTTGAAAGAAAGTAACGAGCAAACTGGAATTATCTGAAATATAGAAACATATTCAAGTAACCCTCACTTAACAACTGGTTGCTTAACAAACTTTTGAAGTTATGACAGACCCCCAAAAGTTATTTATGACCTGTCCTTGAAGTTACAACTGCTGCACAGATCCCAGGTGTTCATAGGATTGCATTTTGGCAACTGGTTTACATTTATGGTTGCGGTGTCCTGTGGTCCTATGACTGCAATTTTGCGACTTTTTTTGCTGATTTCCATCATGTTAATCATCTCTAAAACTGTCATAAAACTGAGTCAGGTCACATGGTGATATGCTTAATGATCACAGTAACTGTCAACCAAAATTCCAGTCTCAATTTTGGTCGTTAAGTAAGGACTGGCTCTACTCTTACGTGAATTAGTCACCACATGATTACGCCTATTAACAAGATTAATTTATATTGCTGCCCATCTCATCTAAGTGATCGAGGGCGGCTCACATAAATAAAAACAACAACAATTGGAAATAAAATAAAATAAAAGCCATCAAAGCAATTAAAGTAATTTGCAAGAGATTGCAATAAATTACTAATCATGCCATCAACTAGCAGGCTCACTATCACCGGAAGATGCTGAATGTTTGGAAGCAAACTGAATACAACAAAGAGGATGGACAGGAAAAAATACCTAACGAGACTGGTATGTCCCATTTTTCCTCTACGTGGGAGCTGAAGTTGGGCTAAACAGACGCCTAGGTCAGTGATGGCTAAACAGATGCCTAGGTCAGTGATTTTAGAGACTGAGTGCCCAAACTGCAACCCAAAACCCACTTATGCATCGTCGGGTGCCGGGTGGGTGTGGCCCATTGGCTGGGCGTGGCCCATTAGCTGGGCGTGGCTGCGGTGGTAACGGCAGACTGGGTGGGACTAAAAAGTTCAGTCAATCAATTCCAACTTTGCAAGATCTTTTTTTTCCCCGCGAGAAGTTGAAATTGACTGATTGATTGAACCTTTTTTTTTTTTTTGCACACGGCAGCGGAGGCCTAAAGCGAAAAGGTTTTATAAAACCCAGCTGAAGGCCTAGGACTGGGGTGACGGCACGCGTGCCCACAGAGAGGGCTCTGAGTGCCGCCTCTGGCACCCGTGCCATAGGTTTGCCACCACTGGCCTAGGTTCTGTGCCCAATACTTACATTTTCTTTCCACATTGGCTCACATTATGCTACTACACATAATGGTCATTGTTAAATCCTTCCTGCAAAGGCCTTTCTCTGCAGTAGTTCACCTTTTGCTGTGTGGAGAGAGCTTTTGTGGCACATTCCTCTTCTTGATCAGCTTCTCCACTGTGTTGCCATGTAGGAGACTGCGGGATGGATGGTGCTTAAAAAGTCCAGGGTATTTCTTCTCTAACGCTTGCTCTCGCCTAGGAGAAGGATGCAAAGACTGAAAACTCAGGAGGACACAGAGGGAAAAAAAAAATCCAAAGTTAACACTAGTCGCTTGGATAACGGGGTTTCTGAGGGTCTTTTGGGACAGGAAAACAGGATGTCAGGGTCCCCAAAGAATAATAAGAATAATCAGATAAAATACCAAAAAGCAACTTTAACTTGACGATTGATTGAGTGGTTGCTTGATTCAACACCATTCAAAGAAACCCATACATTTCTATTTGTAGAGGATGAAGGATAACCTGACTTTAAGGTGTGTTTGGATTTTAATTCCCCTTTTTAATTATTGCTGGTTCTTGGATTCTACCTGATATGGAGGGGGTGTCAAGTTGAGAAAGACTCAGTAGAACTTTCTGCAACTTGTTTTTATCCAGGGCAAATAGTTCCTTCCTTCCCAATGCAAATAGTTGCAGGAGTTTGGGGGGTACCTTCCTCTTCCCTTATTCTGTGTTCCTTGCCTTATGGGATAAAATGGTGCCCCAAGTAGAAGGTGTGGTGTTGATATTTGAGATCCAGCAAACAGGTCATGGGGTGAAGGGGAGGGTCCAGAGAGAGAGCTAGTAGCCCGAGGCTCTCTTACTGAATCTTTCCACTCTTGCTCAGTTAAAAATATATACCTTTTAGGAAAAGTTAGCTCCAAAGCTTAGCAGCCTTCCCGGACTTCTGTAATCTTACCGAAGCAGCTCTTTCTCCTTCAGCTCCAACTGCAACATAAGGGAATTGAGCTCCATATAAAGGTTGTTGGCCCGTTCCAGTTTACGTTCGTAGTGCTCCCGGATATCCAGGGCATGCCTGCAAGCAGGAGAGGGGAGCAAAGAAATCTTTCAAACATATAAACAGTTCGTGATTTTGTTATTTATCTATC